CAGAAAGTTATAGCGCGTCAAAGTGAAAAGTCGAAAATCGCCGATTATTTTTGCATCAACCTAATAGCTCACATCTTTTAGCAAAAACGATTCAAAATAATTGAAAAAGATTTGCTTACATAGGATACATTTACAGTCCTACCTCCCAACGTCGCTCATCGTTGTTATTTCCTGGTTTTCATTTTGGCTCGATGTCGAAGCAGTTCCAGGACGGGTATGCTTTCAGTATTTTTTGGTGGAAGTTATCAATACTTCGGTTCAAGGTCTCTCTGTCCATAACAACTTTGCTTACTTTGGCAACACAAAGCAGCGCGGCAAGGATGGCACTGCCACAGGTTTGTGTCTACTTCAAAGGTCATTTCCATTTACGCAAATTTTTAACAAAAAACGAGAAGAATCAGGGGAAAGGTTCGCCTGGAACTGACCTTAAGAAGAGGTTTCATGTGACACTTTATTGGGAGTGTCAAACTTTTTGAGCGGCATCGCAAAATTCCTTTTTGAAGAGATCGATTCTTGCATGTTTTTGGTTACAGTGAAAAAATGAATGAAACATTGAGAAAAACATATAAAATCATATAACTCTGTGGTGCTAAATTACTTCATTTGATTTTGTGGAAGTGACCTCGGCACAAAAATGCCTGAAAATGAATAGAAATTGATGTAGAATGAGCATAATGATGTATTGAAGTGAAAAAGTCAACCTTATGGTCATATCTTACTTGTAGAAATTTCGCTATGATTTGTGACTTTAGTTTGCATGAAAAGACTCTGTTTTTGCATCCATTGCTTTTTTCCTTTGTAAGATGGTTTAGATAAATTAAGCAAGATTTTTCCCAAAGAAAGAAGTAGAACTCTGATGTTGCCGAATTCGGCATATGTTGGCACTTACTACAATCACATATGTATGTGCCACTCAAAGTAAAGCAGTTTTTAGGCTTCTTACGTAAAGGCTATAGACGTGTGGATGGGCGCATGCATGACATTCGTCTTCTCGGCCATGATAGAATTTACTGTGAGTTAATTATTCAATCCTAGATATGAATAAAGAAAATAGTCGCTCTTAGGTCGTGAACTATTGTACTCGTCGAAAACCACGAAAACGCCCAAAACCGACGACGGGTCTGTCAGAGCAAGTGCACAATTTGATTGCGCAGTACAAGGAGAAGAAAGCTGTCAGTTCTTTCATTATTTTATCTGTCGCTTTTCTCACTATTTAACATTTCAGGGCACAAATACTTCTGTGTATGAGTTGGTGGGTAAATCGGTATAATTGTGCATACAAAATAACTTCCCCTTTTTCTAAACCACATAAAAACGTTATGGACGAGTTTAGATAAGAAGCATTCATCACACAACTGTCGGATACGTATCTCAGCAACTTCAGGTTCCTCCTACAGCATGCTTTCAAAACACCAAAAATTTGTCCAAGTCTCCTGTTTTACCATTCTGCACCAATTGTTTGGTTGTCCATGACCAAACCTTCTACTTTGTTAGCGGAGAACATTCCTAACAAGGGTAGATTCTTTACTTAAAGTATTGAGGCTAAGGAGGTTTCCATTTACTCGGATGCTTCTACATACAATGCTGAAAACGAGATTCCATGGCTAATGCATAACTGTCTCGGTATTGATGAAGGCAGCGGCTCGGCAAAATTTCGTTTCACAGTTTTTCACCTTTTCGGAACCTTCTCGCCATGAGGAAC